TTTAAATAAATAATTAAAAAAGTTTTGACTTTCTTTCTTTCAACAATTTTAAGAATGTAATCGTTGAGAAAACGTTAAAACAAACAACATTAAAAACTTAAGACTAATTTAATGGAATTTTCTGGGTTTCGGCCCATGTTCCGTTTGGGTCCATTAAATGGAGTACGTTCTAAAAAACACTTTTTTCCTCGTACCACAAATCTTAAAAGGTACGAACCTGATTTGTGGTCCGCGAAACAAAAGTGTTTTTCAGAACGTACTCCATTGAAACGGACCACGGACCGAAGCTCCGAAATTTTCTCACTAATATCTATCATTTCGTTTTCGTGAGAGTGAATTAATTTTGCTCTTGCATATAAAGAAGATAAATAATTTGAAAAACACAAATGTGTTATTTAATATCATAAAAGAACGTGTGAAGAAAATAGTTGATTTTGAAATTGCAGCTTTGTATTTGTAAATATTTGATTTGACTCGTGTTATGTCGTTGATTCTGTAGTTGTGATTTTTGATCAACTGGTTGGCAGTTTTGGTCGGCAAGAATTTGCTTTTCCCAATTTCTGCCCATGCCTTCCAAGTCGCTTCTTCTCCTTCCTCCTCCATCTTCTTCTTTTTATCACTCTCAGATGATGATTGTTGATCTTGCTGTGTTTCTTCAACATCAGCAGATACTCATTATTCGGCTCTTCGTCCTCCTTTTCCAAAAACGAAAGAAGATCAAAGTCATTTAGTGCAGAGTTTTCCTGCACGACTTGTTGATTGACACGTTGTGATTTAGCTGTAATCAGAGAAGGGTCTTCTGATTGTTGTTTACGCTTGTTGCGCTTTAACGGCGTCATATTGGTACTTGCACTTGCACTTGACATTGTTTTTTAAAGTTCTTGTTACTTTCACTTTTTCTTTCACAAATATTTCTTAAACTTGTTGATAGTTCAACTTTTTTTTTTCACAAATATATATTTTTTAAACGTGTTGATAGTTCAAATTATTTTTCACAAATAATATATATTTCAAATGCTGTGAATGTGATGTATATATATATCTTTTTAAAATCCTATATGGATAGAAAAGGATGTAAAAAAAAAGGTGGGAGTAGAGTAATGTTTGCTAAAAAGAGAAAAAAGGTGCACTAATGAATACACTTCATTTTCTTCTCCTCTTTCTAAGAAGAAAAAGGTTTTATTGTTTTTTTTTACATAGGAAATTTTAAGGATTTGATTTGTTGAAACAAGTTTGGCTATTACATAATAAAATTTACACAACCAACTTGTCAGAAGAAGATCTTCCAGAAATTTTAAAAATTTGATTTGCTGCTACAAGTTTTGTTATTGTATTATAAAATTTCCATGACTTAACTTGTTACATTTTGTGTCTTTATGGAATTGTTTTCTTCCTTTAGCTGACTGGAAAAAAATGTTTGTTTGATATTTATATAAAATACACATTAAAATATTATATTCATCAAATATATATATAATAAACATTTCATATTACCTTTCTCATTTGTAATTGGTTCTTTAATAAGTAAACATCTTTAAATGATGTTGATCATTTGTTTTTTATTTATTTTTCTGTCTTTTCTAATGCTAACTTTCACAGGTGAGAAATAGAAATTTATAGATTGATAAGCTTAAAATAACGATTTTCTTAGTAGTTTCAGGTGAAGTTGAATCAGAAATGGAAATCAAAGATGAAATAGTTAAAATTCAACATAAAAATATGACAATCAAAGTAGGTGATAAGACTGATCTACTATGTAGTGTGAATCATAAAATTGATTTATGCCGCTATCATATTCCTAATATTGAAAAAGAAATTGTGCTGCACCCATTAAAGGTATTAGGGGAGGCATAACACAGCTGAATATAAATGAATGTGTAGCAAATAACATTCACATGAAAAATTACGATCCAAACCTTGAAGATTGCAGTATCGCCTACTATGAATGTAACAAACTGTACGGGTGTGCAATGATACAACCACTGCCAATTGGTGACTTTAAATTCAGATTTCCATCTGAAAAAGATTCCATGGAAGATTTGATGAATCGTGTTCATCAAATTGATGAGAATGACTCTACAGGATATATTTTTGAAGTCGATGTTGAAATTCTACAATCACTTCATGATGAACTTTCCGATTTCCCTTTTTGTGCGGAGAAAAAAGTTCCGCCTTTCGGTAAATTTGAAAAGTTAATATTAGATTTTAGTAAAAAAGAATGTTATATTATAAATGTAACTTGGTAAGCCCTATTTAATAGTGTAAGTGGTTTCAGTAAAAGCTTAAGCCAAACATATGATATTCAGCTTTGAATTTGTGACCGTTGCTCACGTGACGCCGACCAAGCCCATATGTAACATTATGTAATTATTAAATATATATTTTAAGATATATATTTCATATTTCATTAATTTGTATGAAAATAAATAAATAAAACTTAAGAAAATTAAACGAAATTATTTACATCATTTTCTCTTTATTACTTTATTCTTTTCTTNTAAACTTTAAACTTTTGGAGTAAAAGTTCTCAACAAAAACTTTCTATTTTTATTTCACTATAAAACTTTGAACTTTCAGCAGCAAAACTCTGCTGCTCCGGAGCAAAAGCTCTATTGCTCCGAAATTTTAGAGCTCCAAAAGCTCTGTCCTAAGAAATTCTGGAGTAAAAGCTTAATTGCTCCGAAATTCTGGAGCAAAAACTCTATTTTACTCCGGAGTAAAAGCTCTGTCCTAAAAAATTCTGGAGTAAAAGCTCTGTCCTGGAAGAGACCTATATTAACTTCTGATTTCATAACTGATTTTCAATTATTTCCACTCTTTTCCGGGATGAAGAATATGAAGTCAAAAGTTTCGCCTTACAGTCTTCTTCAACTTTAAAAAAAGAAGAAAACGATTTGGGACATTTCGATTGTCAGATTTTTGTCCGCTCAGGAAACACTTGCAACATTAATAATATGTGAAAGCAAAATAAATAAAAATAATAATAATAGGTAATAATAATAATAATCCTCTATCTGATTATACAAAAACAAATTGAATAGATGCGCAATAGGCAAGTGAAAAATATTTACTCATGGTTATCATTTTTCTTAAGAAATTTCGAACGAAAACAAGGAAATAAAAACATCAGTGCGACTGTTTTCAGTCCGTCTTGATTACACCGGTTAAGATCGGGGGTTTTGCTTCAGTCTCCAGTAGCTGTAAATATTTGAGCATCTCTGAAAACTCACATGATTCCACTTAAAAAAAGTTATCAGTCTCTAACATCTTTATCAAACTGCGTTGTAGAATTTAAAACTTTTCAGAACACGACTCATAAATTTAATTTAACTTTTTATAACAAAAATTCATGAATGAAAGTTTAAAAGTTTTAGTCGCTAGTTGGGCTTAAAATAAACATTTGATAATAAAGATTTCCTAAAGTAGACAATTTCTTCTGCATTGTGCTTCTAAGTGGATTAACAAATTGTTCAGATGGTGGAGCTTTCTGAAGTGGCTGATTGACTTCAAAGCCTTCAGGATTGATATTTTCACAACAGATTATAGAAAAAGAACCTTCCATTATTGAAGAATACGCTCCATATAGATCATGGCACGGCTCACAATATGGTTCAAGATATTCATTACATGTCAACTGATAAGACGTTCAATTATTTAACTCTTTCTTAAAAAAATTCATATTTTGTTTAGAAAACATTCGCACAGATTAAAAACAACAATTAAATGTTGACATGTTAATACAAATCATGATCTAGGAGGGGGTTCTTCTTCTTTTGATAAGATAAGATATTAAAGAAAGTATAAAAGATAACTTGAAATTGACTCTTATCATCAGTTAAACTTTTATTCTCAACTTATCTACTTGAAAATCTTTATTTTAAAGAAAAAAGAAAACTTTAAAAACAAAATGGCAAAAATAATTTTATTCGTTTTTCTTGCTTTGGCTTATTTTGCATTTTGCTCAGCAAATGCTATTAAAAGTGGAAGCGAAGTCGAAGATGTTCCTGCAGGTAATTTTTGATTCGAAAATATTCCTAAATTTTGAACATTCAAAGTTAAACTGACAAAGAAGATTTTCTTTAATTTTGCTATTTTAATTTCTCTTTCTCGTTTTGTTCAGCCAACGACAGCGATGAGGGCGAAACGATTTTTGGTAATATTTTGCTTTATATCCTGTTAACATTTCTTTGAAAAAAAAAACTCGTTAAATAGAACGCATGGGAAGATCTGGAGAACTCTGTAGATGGATCCCCAAGCCTCTAAGAAATGCTGCTTGTCATACTTGGTGCACGAAAGTTCAATTTAGACCAGATGGACGTTGTGAAGGGCATAAATGTGTCTGCGCTTAAATGAAATCTGACATGCCTCGACTAGAGGATTTATTCTTTAGATCCAAACTTACTGATGAAATCGGCGATACCCCTCAATATAAACTATATACATAATCAATAAAATATCCATTTATGTACATAAATAAATAATTCTCAATTTTTCTTTTCATTTAATATCTATTTCAGAATGAGATTTGAATTTAAAAGTAAGTTGAATGTAAAGATCGCTAACGTGGCCCAACAAAATATGTCAGAAAGCTTTCATCAAAATTATTTTCATCATAGCTTTCATCAAAAAAGGAAATAAAAACATCATTGCGACTGTTTTCAGCCCGTCTTGATTACAGCGGTAAAGATCGGGGGTTTTCGGTTCAGTCGCCAGTAGCTGTAAATATTTGAGCATCTCTGAAAACTCACATGATTCCACTTAAAAAAAGTTATCAGTCTCTAACATCTTTAACAAATTGCGTTGTAGAATTTAACAACTTAATAGAACACGACTCATAAATTTGATTGAACTTTTTATTATAAAAATTCATGAATTAAAGTTTAAAATTTTTAATCGCTAGTTGGGCTTAAAATAAACATTTGATAATAAAGATTTCCTAAAGTAGACAATTTCTTCTGCATTGTGTTTCTAAGTGGATCAACAAATTGTTCCGATGGTGGACCTTTTGGAAGTGGCTGATTGACTTCAAAGCCTTCAGGATTGACAATTGCAGGTCCATTTGCAACCATGTAATTCCAAACGCATTCTTTCAGAACATAAGCGATCTCATTTGGTTCTAGATGCTGGACGACAATGTATAAATAGTTTAAAGGTGGTGGGAGAAGTTGTCCCAGAGACAACAATTCTAATAGTTTAACTGTAAAGAACATTAATTCAGAATTATTTCCATTTATAGTTTCTGTTGACTTTGCACGCCAATGATGCATAACTGAAGCACAAATTGCACGAAGAAAAACGCTGCAATTATACAAAGGCTGTTTATACATCGCCAACACACCCATAATTGACCATAAGATTGGACAATTTTTAAAAGTTCTTCTGATGTGGAGATCACGTTCAATTGTAACGCGAGTGAATTCTTCTTCTGGCCATGCAATCCCATTATACATAACGTCAGTTGTGACCAGCTCTACAAGAATATGCGAGAGAAGGCAAAATCCTTCCAATGATTTGTTATTGTTTGTGATTGTGCTGTTATCTTCATTTATACAACAAGCGACAATTGCTTTCAGGAAAATATTTTTAACATCGTTTTCCAAGCCATCGGGAATCCAAGGTTGAGAGACTTTTGGGATTCCACAGCCAATAACACCAGAATGAAGAATACTTGATCGTGAAACATTCAAGGAAATTCCTTGCTTTTGATTCAACTTCAACAATGATTCATCCTTTTTATGATAAATTTGTGACTTTCCGGCGACGTGAATTGGTGCACCGAAAAGATTTGGATACAAGAACAACGCACCTTCAAGAAGGTCACGCAATGCTGCTGATCGGATTCCTTTTCGACCAGAACATTGTTTTGATAATAAATTGTAGCAACGATTGGTGACTGTGACTCTTGTCACTTCATCAGTCTCTGTCAAACACCAAAAGAAATATTTAATGGTGAATTTCTCGCATCGAATTGCATCTGACATGTTCAATGTCCCAACATTATTCAAGATGTCTATCAAGTTTGTTATCATATGAATGTGATCTTTTGTATCATAAACTTTCTCTTCTTCTAGATCAGCAATCTCCATGGGATCATCTTCATCATTTTCCAACTTTATTCGTTTCGCAATATTCTCATTAGAATCATTATTGGTAATTAAAGCTGTTTCAACGTCAGGCATAACTTTACGCAATAAAATCTCCCAAATATTTATCAACATTCGAAATGATGATTGAATTGATGACGTGACGATTCCTCTTTTCAAGAATTGAGATTGATTTGATTTCTCAATCGTAACTAAGTTAATGAAGTTCTTCAATATGAAATACGATTGATTGAAATTGCTGCGATTCTCAACATCGATAACAAGTCTTTGTATAATGTGGGAAATTGGAATTTTAACGTCAGGTATGTCATTTATTCCAATGGGATCGTCAAGAAGACGAATTAAAGCATTGAATGAATTCATTTCTACTTGAGTGTTTGTTCGAATCAACTTCTCGATTGTCTTGTAATATAAAATTGGATTTCTTTCACTGCTGGAAAGGAGAATTAACCGAACAGCTGTTTGTTGAAGAATTTTCTTGTCACTTGAACAAGCATTCCAAAGAATGTCCCAAGAATGATCTCTTCGAATGTCGTTGAACAGAGGACAAGTTTCATCGTTAAACACCAGCGATTGAAGCTTTACTAAAACGAGTTCCAAAAGTTCCATGCACCAATTATTGTAGCAAAATCGATCAGCCAACATCAACAATAATTTCGTTCCATTTTTACTCGTTCTCAAAATTAAATCAGGAAGAACTTTGTGCAGTTCAACTGGTTTATAGTCAAGTGGTCGCATCAAAGCTTGTCGTTTTAATTTGTCAACAAATATTTCAGAATCCTTTTGCATAAATTCCAGGAAAACGTTGAGAATTGATTGAGCATAAATCTCCGATCGACTGGAAAGTTGAATCAAGTTTGGAATGTAATCTTTTGATTTTAGATCGCTTTGATCACCGTTTAGAGCTTCCTCAATTATTTCACGCAATAACATATTGAGGCTTCTCTCATTTGTGCTTGACAAATACTCCAGAACAGTAACAGTTGATTGAATAAAAGTTGATGTAAACATTGAAGGCATGCGCAAAATATTTGATACGAACTTGAGAGGGAAAAGCGAACTCAAATGAGCTACACACCAATCAAAATTCGGTCTGTTGTCGGCAAAAACATTTTCTAAATCATAAATATATCGTTTTGTTTCATTGTCATCAAACTTGCTGAAACATAATCCACAAAGATCCAGCAAACATCTCATGGCATTACATCCAAGCCAAAGAGTGCAAGCAGCTTTAAAATCCAAATTGAGTTTCATTGCATATTCAACCGAGGGTTTTATCAGACGTGATAAACTCCATTGTGATATGAAGGATGCAGCCCAAGATCGTTCCATAAGAAGCTTTTCAAGTCCTTCCTTGATCATTATGATGGCATTGTCATTTTGTGTCGATGATTGATTGGATTTCTATAAGAAAAATGTATTAGAAATGATTCGAAATAAAATAAAATTAATCAACATACCTCCATTTTTACATATTTTTCAATAGATACATCAAAGATATTTGAATAATAGTCAAAGATTGAGTCTCTTAGTACTGGCAATTCTTCCAAGAGTCGTAAACTCTTGCTAACTAACATTTGAGTAGCTGAAAAAATGAATAAAAATATGAAGCAGGTTATAGTATAAACAGATTTGAAATTACTCACTTTCTGGCAATTCATCTCGATGATACGTGTTCTTTCCAACAGCAAATAGTTGGATTTCAAGTAATAATGGATGATTCATATTTATTTCTTAGTTAAAGCAACTTAATTTAAAATTGTTTGTTTTTTTGTTTACAATTTATGTTTCACTTAAAAATGAAACGTTCTGGAAAATGGAACAAATGTAAAATGTAATACACTGTCAAATAAAAAGAAAATCAATACACTGTAAAATAATTTCACATCAAATTTATTTTCCGAAAATTTCTAAAGAATTAAAAAAAGTTAAGTGAAAACTATGAGTGTTGGAAATGAAGAAATCATTGATTGGCAAACTGAAGCCACAGCTGTCATCAATGATGTGAAGCAGCATGTTAAAGCCATTGCAATATCTGAAAAACTCATAACTGGTTAGAAAGATTTTCTTCATTAATTTTCTTAAATTTTGAGACAAAGAAAATTTTTCTGTTCTTTTTCTTGAAAACTTTCCAAGATGTTGGAATCTATATAAACTTACAGACGCTTGAAGGAAAAGAGTTTACATGCTTTTTGGATGCAGCGGGATTTAAAATCGTTGGATTCAACTATGATTGTTGTGATAATGAAGATACTTGTGATGATACGATTTACGAAACAATTTATGCTCTCATTCAAAGCCATTCGCCAGCTTACACACAATCATTCGGCAATGCTTTGGTCGATAAACTAACTAAGCTTTCGTGAGCACTTGTAAGTTTGACATTCAAATTTATTTTTTATTCAAGAAAATGAAGAAAACTTTTACATCATTAAACGTCTCATGAAAATTGATTGCGCTTTAGATTCAAGTTCAGCCAATTCATCAACAATGGGAACAAGCTGTTTGACATGATCAACATAGCCTGATCCAGTGTTCACTCGCTTTTGACCATAAGTTACTTTTCCATCGAAATCATTCATTGGCACTTTTATGTCAGAATCAACTTGCTGAATCGTACATCCTAAATGTTCTTCAATTTCTGCCAAATACTAAAAAGATTAGAAAACAATTGATGCAATTGAACGGTAAAACTTTTTAAAATATTAAATATGCAACAGGATTAAGTTCTATTAATCCTTCAAACTAAGCTTCTCATTCCGTAAAATCTCTTAAATAATTTTAAAATTATTAATTTTAATTGATAAATAAAACTTACCGATGGTTCGTTATACCAAATACAACAGCCACGTTGTTCAACAAGATTTGTATTCCAGCAACTTTTACCTCGTGATGAACACCACTGTCCATGATACCAAACTATAAATAAAGTTGAGATTTATTAACTGATTTACAGCAGAGAAATTTAGCACAAAACCTTTCTCAGGAACGGATGAAACTAAACTAATAGCCAGACCCATTCGTTCAGCACGACCAACTCGCCCAATTCGATGAACATAATTCGATTTTTCATCTGGTAATGTGATGTTTATCATAAATGGTAAGCCAGTCACGTCAATCCCTCGAGCAGCAACATCAGTGCAAATCAGAAACTTTACATATTTATCTTTAAACTTTTGAAGATTTGATTTACGTTCGTTTGGTGCTCGATCAGCATGAAGACAAACACAACTGAACTCGGATGATCCTAATTGCTTTAAATAATTTTCTAAGTTATCGCAATCGAGTTTAGTACGACAAAAAATGATTGCTCGATCCATTTTATGCTCTCGAATAGCACGAATGCAATATTCAGCCTTCATCATTTTCACAGCTTCTGAAAGAGTTTCCGGATTGTTGTTTCCTGGTCTTACATTGTCTTTATTGTGAACTCCATCAGTGTTCACATGTTGACGAAGATTCTTCCATGAAATATCTTTTTGAGGGTCAACCATGACAACACAATGATGAACTGTGTCAGGAACTGCATCCTCTCCTTTAAGATCGACCCAAGTTGGAAAGTGCATCAATCGATTCGCCATTTTCTTAACTTCAAAATCATGCAAAGTAGCGCTACAAACAATCATTTGTAAACGACGTCCATCGGAGGTCAATTTAGGAATTTTTTGATGTAATCTGTCAATTAGCCCTCCGTATCCTTGCTTCAATAATCCGTCAGCTTCATCGAGAACAAAAAATCGACAATGAGTTAGTTGAACATATCCTTGACTAATTAAATCTTCCAATCTTCCAGGAGTTGCCACTACAATGTCAACACCTTTATTTAACTCATTAATCTGTTCTTTAGAACTTTGTCCACCGATGAGAAGATATTCGCGAATTGTCGGATCCTTTAAATACTTTTTAAACTTCTCCAATTGCTGAAAAGTTTGTTCAGCTAATTCTCGTGATGGTTCAATGATTATTGCTTGTGGTGCGTTAGGTTTTGGTTGTAAATCTTCTTGTGGTGCAGTTTGTGATGCATATGGATTGACCCTGACGTTACTTTTCTCAGCGCGACACAAAGCAATGTAACCGTCAGGAATTTTGTTTTTGAAATCGCTTTCACCGAAATTAAATAACATTTCAGCATTCTTAAGCACAACTGCTGGATAAAAAGTTTCACGTTTCATCTGATCGTTGACTCGAAAAGCCAAACCGAGATTCTTTCCGTTCTTTGTGAAAGTGATCTCTCCATCTTGCAAATTTAATAAACATCCAATAACGTCATGAATTCCAAAAGCTTCTCCATAATCATCGAATTGTCGATTGTTCGACTTTTTCCCAGTGCCACCAAAGCCGTAGGAAAATTTGTCAGTTCCTAAATCGAGATTCGCTTTCTCTGTTGCCCATCCAACCCGACATAAGCCTTCATCTGTTACTGTAGACTCATAATAATATCGTCCACTTCCTATAAGAAAATATTGGGAAATTATTTCCATAAGTTATGAAACTCTATGCTTACCATGTACACCAGTTGTAGCGCGACATCCAAACCATTCCTTTTGTTCTCTTGCTTGACATCGCAATCCATCAGTTGCAAGAGCTGTTCCTCGATCGTAGAAGCTCATTCGCCATTCAGTTACTTGTGCAGAACTAACTTTATGCTTTCCTTTTACTTTTTTCAAGTCTCGGAGAGTCTCATGGACAATCTGAAGAATGGGAAGACAAAAGGCTCCAGTTTTTCCACTTCCTGTTTCAGCTGCCATCAGAACATCACCACCTACACAATATTATTATTGTAGTCTTTCGAATTTATCGAGAAATATTTGTTTTCATGATTATTTACCTCCGAGAATTGATGGAATTGCTTCTGCTTGTACATCAGTTGGAAGAAGCCATTCCATCTCATCTACAGCTTTTCCTAATTCAGGAATCACTCCAAACTCTTCAAAAGCTGTCATTTTTGTCCTAATTTATATTTTTTGTGATATCAAAGCACCGGCTGAGATTTTTTTACGTTCTGAAATGCTTAAATTGTGAAACAACTTGAGCAATATTGCAAGAACTTGTTGAAATATCGAAACGTGTACGAAAACAGAACTGAATTCAAAGCGCTGTTAAGCCAGTCTGACAGAACTGAACTAACTTTAAATATTTGAAAGAAAATTGTGAAATTTAATAAAAGATGAGAAACGGAACGCAACTAAAAGCGCTTTTTAGACAGTCAGACACAAATAGTTTAATTATGCAAGTTTCTGAAGCACACAATTCAATAACGTCAGTCTCAACTTACATTCAGTCGTAAAAACATTCTTTTTGTGTTTATTTTAAGTTATAATTATTTTAGCTTCACTTCCTATTCCGGATTCGCGATGAAAAGAACTAAAGTCGATAGTTAAAACTGTTGAGCTTAAAGAATGCTATCGATAAGAAGAACTTTCGTACCGAAAATAATTTTACTGGCCATCGTTGTTTGTTTGTGCTTCTTTTACATCAGAAACTTGAATAATTTAAATGCAATAAGTGAAGATAAAACCAAATCACCAAACCATGTACCTCAGCAACAAAGACTTATTCAAGAGCCTGATCAAATTCAAGAGCCCGATAACGAAAATCACCTAGTCAATGAACCAGACACATCGTCTGAACAGTTCAACAAGTATGAACTTGAAATCCAACAGGACTTGTTGAAACAAAAAGAAATTCCAAAGTTGGGCGAAGGGGGAAAAATAGCTCACTTGTCAGACCCTGAAGATATTGCAGAAGGTGAAAAGCAACTGGCAAAAATTGCATTAAATCAAGCACTGTCAGAACATATCAGTTACAATAGGACTGTTCCCGACGCTCGACATCCGTCTTGTCGGAAGAAATCTTATGATGTCGACTCACTTCCGACTACTTCAGTTATAATAATCTTCTTTAACGAACCGTATTCGGTGCTCGTGAGAACTGTTCATAGTGTTTTAAACACGTCACCCAAAAATCTCTTAAAGGAAATCATTTTGGTGGATGACGGGTCAAGTAATGTTGACTTAAAGCACAAACTTGACTACTACGTGTCCAGTCGATTAAGTGACAAAGTAAAAGTAGTACGACTGAAAAATCGGTGAGTAAACAAAACTAACATCTTGTGTGGACCGAAATGTCATGGTCACGACATCAGAATCATTTCTGGCACATGTGAATGAGTGTTTGTGTATGCGTGTGTTTGTGCTTGGACACTACACAATCATATCTATTTATGTAGAGTGATTTTTTTACACAATATAAATGGATTATGCAAATGTCAATTGACATATTCAAATTTAGATGGCATTTATCTGTTGCTTTCTATTTTGTTTTTATTTCATTTTCTTCTTGCTTGGGAAAGTTATCACTTGCGTACGATGAAATCGGTGAAGAAATTTCTCAATAACGATTGATGACAAGTTTCTGGTTTCTGTCGCAAAAAAAATATGGAAGAGTGAAGTGGGGAGGGAAGATGAAGATGTAGAAATGCGACAGTTTGTGTAGTCAACCTTGTAGTCAACGAACCCTTAGTTGGTCATATGAGACGATAAGAAAAGAAAAAATTCTGCCAAATCACCAAGCTGCTTGATTTATGAGTTTTTATCGACTATTTATCGAGCTTGGGGCAGAAGAAATTGAAACCATTAGCAGTAAAATGGTATGAAAGCCGTTGAGTATTCATTAAATTGTAATTTATGATTTCCCAACACTCAGCGACACATTAAATTTCGATTTATGTAATATGAACTTTAACATCTCTAACAAATAACTTAATAAAAAGAAATAATGTCAATAGTGTCATTATCAAATTGACGTCTACAATCATTTCAGTTTTAATTAATTAGATGGTTTCATTTACAAGAGACTTTCTCACCCATTCTACTCTCTTATTTATTAAATAAATACAACTATGTTGACTTATCAAGTTAATTACTTTCCCATTATTACGAACATAAACATAAATAAATAAGTGCATGTTTCGAACGATCCAACAACAATTCATCATGTAAAGCATCTTCACTATTGTATTTATTGAGCTTGAGAGACTGACTGAAGCGTGGAATCAGATAAATAAGTGGAGAAATGAAAGATAAAGGGAAAAGCGTGTTCGACAATTGTCTCGTGATGCACTTGACCTGCAAACTATTTTTTCTCCTTCTCTTCTTTCAAATACATCGTGACTACTTAAAAAAATATGTAACAAAAATAATAAACAAACAAATGATCGTTTGAAACATTTCCGTAAGGAAACAGAAGTCATATTGATTGCACTTCCTAATTACAGTAATTTACGTAAAACTGGCATCGATTTTATGTTTCTTTCTGCGGTAGTGTGCTAAATAATTCCAGGTTTAGAAAGATTTCCATGACAACGTTTGTCGTCGGTCGAATAATCACAGAGCTGAGTTTTCGTCCCTTTCTCTCAGGGACGAAAGAAAAACAGAAGAAAAAAAAATGTAATTTCATGTTTCACTTTTTGATTATTTCCGGTTGAATAATCAAAAGGCAATAAAGTTAAGCGTTCTTTTAGGATTTCTTTGCTTTATCGTCTTTTAGAATTAAAATTACTCAGCATAGGGAAATTATTTTTAAGACTTTTGATTTTATATTTCAAACACGTTTATAAGATAATTTAAATTACCTATTTATGAAAGTAAGTGAAGACAGATGAGAAGAATCAACAGATCTTCCTAACAAATAAACCTATTTAACCAAGTCAAAATATCTTCAAATGAGTTATAAGTTGTAAGCATAATTTCTGTAGATATTTTCTTCTTTAGCAAATATTTAAATTTTTACTTCACCGATTTCTCTCTCAATAACATCACGCAACCGACATGAAAGTTAAACTCTGCTAATTCCCGTTAATCTTAATAAAACTTTGTGGCATCATGATTCATGAATGAGTTGGTTTTGTTGGTAATTTTTCTGCACTTAAAACGAATGTAATTCATTGGCTGATGATTCTTTGCAACTACATGAATTCATGATTACGGATTCCCCGACCTAAATAAACAAAAAGTATTCTCAACTATAATTTACAATGAGTTAATCAAACAATTAGCGTGACTTTAATCAGCGAACCGTAAGAATTGTCGGTGGTGTATCTGAGAATGAAGTGAAATTGTAATAAAAATGATTTAAAGCGCACAATTACTTTTCATCATGAAATTATTCACACATCTAATTAATCTCATTTCATTCCATTGCAATTTCACTCTTAGATTGGGTTTAATTCGTGCTCGACTTGCAGGCGCTAGAATATCAAAAGCAGACACACTCGTCTTCCTTGATGCTCATTGTGAATGCGTCGTCCAATGGCTTGAGCCACTTATGGCAAGAATCAAAGAGAACCCAACAAGTGTCCTCGTGCCAATCATTGACGTCATTGAAGCGAAAAACTTTTATTATAGCACAAATGGATACGACACATTCCAGGTGAGATTAAATAACAACGATCATGAAAGTGAAATTACATTGAACGAAACATCCTAGTAATCAATTGGCATAAGTTTAAGGCAGTCTTGTTGCAAATAAAACCTGATACGTTAGAAACCGGTTAAAGAATGAAACAAAAAAAAAAAGAAGAAGGCGAGAAAGGTTTTTACTTGGCGAAATAAAACTCAGAATCAAGCGAAAAATATCATTTCAGTTTTGAAGATTTTCGGGTTAAGATGTAGCATAAATAAAAACTTAAATTTTTCCGTTAAAGCATTAATCATGTGGCTTCGAAAAGACATTAAATATCATAAGTTATTCTTTTATCCAAAATTGAGTGTTTTAAATTTTGCAAAGTTAATTCTCATCATAATTTTCGTGTCATGCGTTTGGCTTTTAAGACGAAGCGAAGTGAATCCTCGTGGTCTTCATAGTAATGTACTCGGACGTATTTTATTTAGTAAAACGAGTGATGAATTAGCATATGATCGTGAAATTGAGAATGATTTAGATCGGCAAGTAAAAGGATTGTGTAATGCGGGGGTGGAATGCTTTTTAAGTGGAGACGATGAAGAAAGTGGTGAAGAAAGTTACTCCACTTATGGAATTAATGTGATGCTCAGCGACAAAATTAGTTATAACCGAACGCCGCCTTACATTCGCAATGATTTATGCTCCATGAAACATTATGATGTCACTAAGTTGCCATCAGCAAGTGTCATTATTATATTTTATGAAGAACCTTACTCAGTTTTACTGCGAACAGTTCACAGTATTCTGAACACTGCACCGTCAATGTTACTTGAAGAAATTATTCTCGTCGATGACTTTTCATCGTATGATGATCTCAAAGGAAAACTAAAATATTACGTAAAAAGTCGATTGCCTGATAAAGTCAAACTTTTGCGATTGGAAAAACAGTAAAGATTTCTTTTGAACTTTGATATCCGCGATGGTTCAATGAACTTTATATTAAGACGATTTGACATGACGATGAAAGAAAAAACAAAGATAAATTTACATAATTTTGGCAGAGATTTTATTTTATTAAATAAGATGAAGATGAAGATGATTGGTTTGAAATATCATCATCATTATTATATCGTCATTGAGCCAACAAAGATTCAAATTCTAATTTACTTCAATTACTACAAATCGTAATTTTTAGGTCAGGTTTGGTAAAAGCGCGTCTAGCTGGTGCCATGATGGCACGAGGTGATGTGTTGATATTCTTAGATGCACATTGCGAATGTTCACATGGATGGCTTCAGCCATTACTTAATCAAATTTATGAATCACCAAATTCAGTAGCAGTTCCAGTTATTGATGTAATTTCAGCAAAAACTTTTGAATATCAAACTGATGGCTATGGATTTGATGTAATTTCACTTATTCCGTTATAATTTCATAATTCACCTTCATTAAGTAATTTATTTCGTAAATATTTGTGTTTTTGATGTCATTAGATCGGCGGATTTACATGGGATGGTCATTTTGATTGGCATGATGTTCCACCAAAAGAACGTCAACGTCAGAGAAAAGAATGTCCCGATGAAGTTGAGATTTGCCCAACACTCTCGCCAACAATGGCTGGTGGACTATTTGCCATCTCGAGAGATTATTTCTGGGAGATAGGAAGTTACGATGAACAAATGGATGGTTGGGGTGGTGAGAATCTTGAAATGGTAAGAAAGTTTTGTCATTGTTGTGAGACAAAAGAACGAGTGAAAGAATTTTTCATTTATTTTTTTTTTTTTATTTAAATTTTCACAGAGTTTTCGTATTTGGATGTGTGGTGGCAGCCTAGAAACTATTCCGTGCTCAAGAATTGGGCATATCTTTCGAGAATTTCATCCGTAAGTCGTAGGAAGATGAATGAGGTATCAATGGATACATCTCATCAGTAGGTTTAATTCTTCTATAGACATCAAAGCAAGTTTATGAAACAGAAAAAAAGTTATAGGCGAAAAACAGTTTAAAACAATTTTCAAATTTGTTCTTGAATATCTTCTAAACGGTGATAGTTACAGAGTTCAATTGCATCTTAAAATTTTCATCATTTAATCACCTTCCATCGTGCAAAATATCAGATTAAAAAAAGAATCATTAAAGTGTTAGAACATACATTATCTCAGTAATGCTATTATTGATTTCAGTTTTCTCTTTAATCAAAACAATCTTTTGATCGTTTTCCTTATTAGAGAAAACTAAATTATATTCATTCGTTAATTAGAACTCAAAGAATAAAGTAATATATTAATACAAGATAAACATATTACAACAGGTACAGCTTCCCAGATGATAAAGACACTCATGGCATTAACACTGTGAGAATGGCGAAAGTCTGGATGGACGAATATGCTGAACTTCTCTACATGAATCGACCTGATTTGAGAAATAATCCAGATGTGGGCGATGTGACGCACAGAGTAGTGTTAAGNAAATTTTCACAGAGTTTTCGTATTTGGATGTGTGGTGGCAGCCTAGAAACTATTCCGTGCTCAAGAATTGGGCATATCTTTCGAGAATTTCATCCGCAAGTTATATTCATTCGTTTAGAACAATTCAAAGAATAAAGTAATAAATATATTACAACAGGTACAGCTTCCCAGATGACAAGGACACTCATGGCATTAACACTGTGAGAATGGCGAAAGTCTGGATGGACGAATATGCTGAACTTCTTTACATGAATCGACCTGATTTGAGAAATAATCCAGATGTGGGCGATGTGACGCACAGAGTAGTGTTAAGAAACAAACTTAAATGCAAATCTTTCGACTGGTATATGAAAAATATTTATCCTGAAAAGTTCATTCCAAATCGAAATGTCCAAAATTATGGACGAATTGCAGCTGTTAAAAATGAGAATTTCTGCTTCGATGATTTACAACAAAACATTGATGAAGCATTTAACTTAGGAGTTTATAATTGTTACAAGCCAGACATTGCTCCATCGCAATTTTTCGCTTTAACTTATAACAATGTTTTAAGAACAGAACGCAGTTGTGCCACAATCGATGATCGGTGAGTTGTGCAAGATTTTTTCTTCATTTTTCATTCTTTAATATTTTTTGTCACTTAACAGACGTTCAACGAAATATGTTGTTATGGTTCCGTGCAATAGCGATGACGAAGTCGATGATTCTTGGATTCATACATCTTATAATCAATTCAAACATGAACAAACTGGACTTTGTATAGGTGAATTAAATTCTTTGACTTTTTTATTTATAAAACGTTTGACAATCTCTGGAGTTTTTTTGCAGGCTTCAAACGAAAAATTCCTCGATAAATAACTTAAATATTTGCTTTCTTCTTTCTTTTTCCAGATCGCAAAAATTTAGACAAGAATTATGTTCATGCTGCTGTTTGTGATTCCAATTCAAAAACACAAAAATGGGAATTTCAGAAAAATACCAGACTTTAGAAAACCTTCTTTTCTTTCTGTTACTTACGTGATTTGTTATATTTTTAGTCTTTAAGAAGTGTCTATAAAAGGTCATGACAGCTTACAACAACTCTACACTCTATTTACCGTCCTCAATCAGATCAAATAATAAAACTCAATAAATATAATAAAAAATTCATTAGGGAGCTGATAACAAATGAATCTCGTTGACAATTAAGCTACTTAAAAACTCTCTGAAATGAACAAAGGCAGCAACAATTAATGTATTTTTAAAAAGACTAGACCTAGGTATATTCTCACGAATAATATCAAAATGAACTTATTTAAATGTAGATAAAAGAGATGAACAAAAATTTTCGAGCTGTTAAGGAACTTAACATAAAAATTATGTGTGCTGATATATTTAGATAAACATCATTAATCTGAAAAGTGATTTTAAATATTTAGCTTAAGCACAAACTTTTTTCTATCGAACAAAAAATGACGAACAAAATCATGAAAATTTAAAATGAAAAGTGCCAGAAACGCTTTCGGATATTTGATTCACATCATCCATTCGATAGAGTTTCATTAGAAATTCTAAACTAATAGAATCTTAATTTGGAAATATTAATGACTTAAATAAAACGAATCTTCAAGAAAAGAAAAAAATCTTTTTAACATTTTAAGAATCACTCATGTGAAACTTTTTCTTTTTTATTTTGTTGATCTTTTTTTTTTAAATAAATTAGGTACCTAAAAGTGAATGGAATTGTAGATTAATAAAACAGAGATGGAAATAAAATAAAAAATGTTTAGTGAGATTTATTTGGAGAGAAAATTTATTTTGGAGTTGAAGTAGCAAAAGTGGTTTTGGATTTAATGTCAACTGGTTTTCTCAGATGGTGATAATTCGGAAGAATTTTTCTCAAGAAGTCAAGTTGAAGCATGTGCGAACCTTGTTTGTCAAGAGCTTCACGTTGCTGACAAGTTTTGCCATAAATCACAGTGTTCTCTGTTAGATGCTGTTCGCCAAACAGCTGACAGCCAGCTCCAATTACACACCCACTAGATATTGTTACATCAGGAGATACATAACTCTTGCTCTCAAATATATTCTTTTCTCCTATCTTCAAAGCTTCTACAGTACATCCAACTTCAAATATGTTATTGGATCCTATGACAAGTACGTGAGGTTTTTCTGGATTCTCTTGATACAGTTTATGGTTCGTTGGTATTCGATGTATGATTTTTGCATACTCTTCAATAATACAATTTTCTCCAATTATTATTGGTCCAGATTCAGCTATTATTTGGGCTGATGTATGCACAACAGATCCACTGCTAATTGTGACATCACCGCGAATGTTTGAATCTTCACAAACTACAGCTCGTGGCATTATTTTCACTTTGTTCCTTTTGTATTGGAAAGTGTATTAGAATTTTAAATGTAGAACCTTCATGATTTATTAAAATACTTACTCGTTTTTAGACATTTTAATAAATTTTTCTTTTTTGGTTTTACATACTTGTTTGGGGTCTACAACTACGTAAACATGACTAAAATCGACTGATTTGAGTTGCGGTTTCAATTTTTCACTCAAACTCGCCACGAATATTTTGATAATCTCACTCGTAATATTTAATTAAAAGCCGGCAAATTCTAAAAAGAATTATTTGTTACAAGGTGACAACCAGATAATAAATAAGTGAGTAGCTAATACTGTTGATTATTTGAAACTCTAAAATTAAGAAAAACATTTTTCCGAGCAATCACAAGAAAATTATTTTCTTCATTGCACAAATAGACATTTTTCAAGAGGTGTCAGTTCTATTTTTGCATGTTAGCTTATTTTATTACCTTAATCTAACTCAAAAACTTGTTTACTTTGTCGATTGCTACTTATCGTTTCGATTGTGAAACTTTTAAATGATGCAATAAAAGTTTTTGGTTATCGAAAGCCTACGAATAACTTTTATTAGCTTTTAGAATTAAATATGCTTCTACTTATCATTGTAGGCTTATCAACTATGCCGGAGGAAAATACAAGTGAAGCACAATCAAAAAAAGCAGCAAAGAAGCTCGCTGCAAAAGCCGAAAAAGCAGCAAAAGTAAATTTTATATCAAAAAATTTTTTCATTTATTTCAGTTTTCCTTATTTTTAAATTTAGAAAGCTGAACACAAGTCAAATGAACAAGTTCAGAATGAAAATGTAGAAGCTGGTGACGGTGAAGACATTTCCAAAGGGAAATACGGTCAATCGCCAATGATACAATCGAGAGAAAAACATTTGGAGAGAAAATTTTTAGCTGTACATGAATTAAAAAGTGCAATCGGACAAAAGCCGGTGTGGGTTCGTGGACGAATTCACACATCTCGAGGAAAAGGAAAACAAGTTTTCTTAGTTTTGAGACAACAATCAAGCACTGTTCAAGTCATCATTTCAGTTACTGATGTTGTGTCGAAACAATTGGTGAAGTTTTCTGGATCGTAAGTTGCACCAAAATCTTTAATCTGATCTTTAATTTTAATAATTTACTTTTTTCAAAGAATTCCTCGTGAAAGCATCGTTGATATTCATGCAAATGTTGTTGCAGTTCCTCAAAAAATTGAATCATGCACTGAACAAGATCTTGAACTGCAAGGATTTGAAATCTTTGTCGTTTCGCAAGCAAAATCGCAATTGCCACTTCAAATCGAAGACGCTGCAAGGCCAGAGAAGAAAGGCGATACAGACAGTCTGAATATTCGTGTAAATCAAGACACGAGATTAGATAATCGTGTTTTGGATCTTCGTACGCCTGCAAACCAAGCGATCTTCCGTCTCGAAGCTGGCGTTTGCAAACTCTTCCGTGACATTTTAGCTGCCAAAGGATTTGTTGAAATTCACACACCTAAAATCATATCAGCTGCAAGTGAAGGCGGTGCCAATGTCTTTACTGTCAGCTACTTTAAAGAGTCTGCTTATCTCGCTCAATCACCTCAACTTTATAAGCAAATGGCAATTGCTGCTGACTTTGATCGTGTCTTTACTGTTGGTGCAGTTTTTCGTGCTGAAGACTCAAACACTCATCGTCATCTCACAGAATTTGTTGGATTGGATTTGGAAATGGCTTTCAAGTATCATTATCATGAAGTTTTGGATACCATCGGCAACACATTCACGGAAATGTTTAAAGGATTGCGTGACAAGTGAGTTCGTTTTGTTCTATTAAATATTTACATGACAATTCAATCAACTTTTTATTCACGTCAACAGTTACGCAAACGAGATTGCTGCAGTGGGTCAACAATACAGTGTCGAAGCGTTTAAGTTCCTTGAACCGCCACTTAGACTTGAGTTCCATCAAGGAGTTCAAATGTTGCGTGACGCTGGCGTTGAAACTGGAGACGAAGAAGATTTGTCAACACCGAATGAGAAGTTTTTGGGTCGGTTAGTGAAGGCGAAATATGACACCGACTTTTATATCTTAGATAAGTTCCCATTGGCAATTCGTCCTTTCTACACAATGCCCGATCCAAACAATCCGAAATATTCAAACTCATACGACATGTTTATGCGTGGCGAGGAAATTCTTTCTGGCGCTCAACGTATCCACGATCCCGAGTACCTTGTAGAACGAGCGAAACATCATGAAATTGGTAATTTAATCTACTTTTGTTTTATAACAAAATTTCATATCAAATCTTCGTTTTAACACCGTTTAGATATCTCAAAGATTGCCGCTTACATTGAAGCTTTTCGTTTTGGATGTCCACCGCATGCTGGAGGTGGAATTGGCATGGAACGTGTTGTCATGTTGTATCTTGGTTTGGACAACATTAGAAAGACTTCAATGTTCCCTCGCGATCCCAAACGCTTAACACCTTAAGGAAAATTTAATTCATTTGCTTTGTTTTTGAATGTTTTGCAAAGTTTTCCTTTCTTTTCTAATTATTTAGTTAATAAATGGAGAATTTTTATTACATTTTTGTGTCTTTTAATGTTCAACAGAAACTTTCTTACATTTTTTTACTGTCGGGTAACATCACGGATTGTTTTTCAAAATATTTCACAATCAATTCAATTTTCATCTTCCGTACTAGTGTTTTTATTTTATGTTTTATTAATAATTATTGCAATAAAACGAGATAAGCGATTGGTAATTAAAGTAAATTTTGGACATTTTTAGAAACGTTCTGAATTCAGTTGTTAACCTGTTTCATAAATTACCTACCAGAGAAAACCAACAAACATTTTTGATTAAAGTTAAAAGAAGCTGCGAAAAAAAAATTGAATCACAAAACACTCCACTTGCATGAGAATTGAATTCTCGCGTGATAATTCCAACAGGTGGTTGTTGTACTATCAGCATTCAAGTCATGTTCACTAAATTATTTAAGAAGAGAAAATGGAAAATTTATGAAAGCTTCTCTCGAAAATTGAAAATTTTCTCTCACGAGAGGAATGCAAAGAAAAACATTTTCTACTTCAGCACTTTGTTGTGAAAATTCAAAAGCAAAAAGCATTTAAGCTATTTGATATTTTCCAGAGGACATTTAATAAAATCATATCTGCTAACAAATTATTAACTTCGAATCGATAAAAGGTGCTGAAAACATTGTGAAAAAGTCTTATGGTGGTTGTGGGCTGGGAAAAGCGAACCAGTAAGGAAAGTTATCGACGTCGTCTATGAAGTGAAAAGTTCCGCGCTGAATTGAAATCGATTCTCAAAAAATAATAATCTAAACAAAAAGTTTCAATGAAATTCCTCTAATAATTCAATAAACTTATTTATTATTCAGTTTGACAAATAAGAAAGTGCCTGAATTAAGAATTAAAGACGCCAAATACAAATCTTCGCATATCTTATCAACAATTTTTTATCGTAATTGCGTTGTGACTAATATCGAGTGACTTTTCATACACAAAAAGTCTTCAAAACTTGCTGAAAATATGTCTGTAGCACCAAAACTTCTTCAAAAAATTGAAATTCATACATCAGACGTGACTTGTGTCGATTTCTATGGAAGTTCATTATTGGTGACCGGTTCAAGGTAAAATTTACAACTCTAAAGAATACAAAAATATAAAAGGAAAAATTAATTGCAGTGACAAGACAGTTCGACTCTTCCGATGGGAAGTCGGTTCAGGATTTATTGAAGATGAACATTCTCCTTATTTAGGACATAAATATGCAGTAACAAGCACTACATTCTCACCAAAGGTAACAATAATAAAAAATAAGCGAATTCACATGTAGATTGATATAATTAACTTGCTATCATGATACATGAAAGTTTACATTCAATGAGAAATTAATGAAAAATATTGATGTTGTCGTTTGTGTTGTTCGTTCGCTCTTCAGCTGTTAGACGAAACTTCAACGCATAAAAGTTTCTTTCTTCAATCATATTCAGTTCATTGTAGAGCTTAGCAAGAAACATGTAAATGTCCTTAACTTTATTCCAACATTCAAGCTTTGTTAAGAAGTTAATTGCAAGTTCAATCTGCTCCGAAGTTTTCTTCACATTTTCAAGTTTCATGTTCTTGGAAGGCGACGACGCAATGATTGACTGAACAAAGAGAAAGAAAAGTTTGGCCTTGTCGTAAATTCCTCCGTTTGCGAGAATATTTTCCATATTCAATTTCAATATTTTCAATGCTTGTTGATGCATCTCCATGCGATAAAGAACATAAGCGATGTTCATTTCAACAATCGAATGTTCGTAATCTAAATGTTTCTCTTCAGCGAAACTACTTGCACGATTTAAGATCAACAATGATTCGGATGGAATGTTGTGACGATCGATTAAGCTTTGAGCTTGTGCAACAAGGCCGCGAACTCTTAGAAGCGGTTCTAATTTCTCATCATCTTGTGATAAAAGTCGATCTAAGAGACTTAATGCATCTGAACGATTTCCCCTTGCAATGTTCATGTTTGCACGTTGCAGTAAACTCAGATTTGGGTCTAAATGATATAAATGATCACATGCTATGGAAGCATCGCTCCATTTCTCATGATAAATTGCTTGTTGACTTGTCACATATTGATTTACCAACATCCAATTTCGAGAGATTGGAAATCGTGGAAATTTCTCTTTAGCTTTACTTAGAATCACAGAACTTGATAAGAAATCGCCTTGCATTGCCATCCACATTGCCAAAGTACACAAAGCTTGACATGTTCCTTCGCCATTGTGAGTTCGTTCCATCGTTTTTAAGTTCGAATTTAGTAAGAGTTGACTTGATAGTGAAGCAATTTCATATTTGCCATAAAGTGTCCAAAGCGCAGTTCGCTCAGCGACACAATTTGAGATCAAATTCACCATCGAATGTTGACAATTAAGAATGTCACTTTTAATGAGAACATCGAAAAGTTTTGAAGGTAAATAACCAGAAATTGCAGCAACTTTCACTAATGATTGAATGTTGAGTGACACTGAACGTACCAAACTCATTTCCGTCTTATTTGCAATGTTTTTCTCTGATAATTGAAAGTTTGATTTGTCGAGTAAACAAAGCCAAAGTTGAGCAAGTTGAAGGCAAACTCGATCACCATTTTCTTGTGCAATCATTATGCATTCTTTCAGACATTTAAGTGCTTCCGTGTTATGATCAAACATTGTATGAAGAACTGCAAGATTTAGAACTGAATATTGAAAGTTTGACTTGCAAGTGTTTTGATCTTGATGATTGTGTCCATGTTTACCAGCATTTCGATCAAATGACCTGTGTAAGGCTTCAATGCAATTCGGAAGATCACGAATTCGAATGTTGTTAAGATATGACAAGAAATAAGCTTTTGAATATAATGGAGTGTAAATTTGGACGATTTCGTCGATTCGCTTTTGAAGTTCTTTGGGATTTAAAGCTTTCGTTTCATCATTCTCTAGAAATGAAGTTTGCTGCGTAACAAACAGTTCTGCTTGCTTCGATGACCATTTATGTTTTGTCATCATAGTGTCTTCAATATCATCAAGATTTGAAGTTGCTGGAGATATTTCCAAAGCACGAATACCTTTTTCGTAGTAAGTTATGATATTTTGATAAAGATTCATTAAATCTTGGAACGGCATCTTCTCAAGATGAAGAAGAATCCTTCGAAGATAAAGTCCAATGACACTGCCTTGATGAACGCAGGGTGAATTGGCTCCTGACACAATGGTCTCAGTTATTAGATCATCGATTGTTTTTGTGAGTTTAAACAAAATTTCAATTCCAACTTCGCTAACAATACTCATGACGCCTTGGAAAGCTTCCATGTGCCAAGCTTCAAGTGGAAACTTTCCTGCTGTTAGAAAAATGTGAAGATCTTTGTAACTCCTTAAAAAAAAGATGTCATTCAAATTTTTCTCGTTTAATTAATTTAAGTAATTTACAAATCCGGAAGTTGAATCAGCTTCAAAAGTGTCATATAAAACTTTCTTCGGTACTCAGCTGGATAGTTTACTGAAGGAACTACATATTTTTCATCAATTTCCATATCTAACACTTCTCTATCTCTGTGTTTTCTCCAGAATTCTTGTAAAATTATTGCTACACAAATTTTATATGGAGACAAATTATCAAAATTTTTGCCGGGTGGAAGTGGCAAGAAAAAGTTTGTATCAGATTCCTTCGTAACAATCATTTTAAGAAATTAAACTGTGCACTTCTTTTGATAAAAGTTTTAGTTCAATTCCTTTATTAATTCCTTCTCGAAAAACAGAAAATTTGAATTTTTTAATAGGAATGTTTTGTTTTCGGCGACTTATTAAGAAATCGCATAAATTGTGTATGCGAATCGCATTGTTCAGGAAGGTTCACAACGAGAAAATTTAAATTTTTATCCGTTAGAATAATGAAAGCTTTTAATTTCCTCGTATTTTAAAGGGATCTGTAATAGCTTCTTCAAGTGTAGATGGAAGTGTCATTCTATGGGATATAGCGACAGGTCAGAAAACTGATGTACTCTACCAGCCAAATAACGAATGTATGAATATTTGATTTTGTAAAACATCACAAGTAACGTCAAAATAATTTTCTGTTCATTTCAAAGCAATAAGAAATTGTATTTTTGCACCAAATGGATCTGTAATCGTGACTTCTGATGATACAGGAATGATAAGCATTTTTGGGCAAGACAAAGTGTTAAAAAAGAACATCAAAGGAGTACATGAAGAAACTGTGCCAACTTTAGCTTTCTCTAAAGATTCAAAAATTTTGTTGACCGCATGTTCACTTGGAAACGTTCGAATGTTTTTTAATGACTTTGAAGGTGATTGTTTTATTTCAATTTGGTAAATTAAAAGCTAAGAAGGTTTTGATTATTATTACAGCTGATGTGATAGAACCAGATTTGTTGATTGACAATGCACACGATATGGGATGTGCATCTGCCGATTTCTGTAAAATTACGAGATTGGATCGTAAGACATTTCTTATTTCTTATCTTATATATTTAATTCCTTTAATCAACTTCACTTTAGCGGTGGATGCAAACACTACGATATACACACTTGCTACTTCAGGAAATGATAATAAAATAAAAATTTGGAGAGTTTTTTCAATTGCAAGTAGTCGTCCAAGTCGTAGAAACAGTTCAGTTGGAAGCACTTCTCAAGAATCGCGTTTAAATTCAAGATTGATATCAACAACTCTACAACAACATTACGCAGAAACGGCAACAATATTCCCAACGTTGTACTTAAACACTGAATGTGTTCATTCATTTTATGCACATGGTAGCAGCGTGACTGCAGTAAGATTCAATACGTCAGGAACTTTGCTTTTTTCGGGTGGATTTGATCGTTTGATAAAAATTTGGAATTTTCAAGGAAGCTGTTTGAAAACTTTGGGTGAACATCAACGATACATAAACTGCATCGCTATTAATGTAAGTAAAAAAAAAAGATATAAAAACATAGAAATATAAAATTTTGTTATTTATTCAGAGTGACTCAACCATCCTTGCTTCAGGTTCGAACGATAAAACGATTCAAATTTGGGATATCACTGGATCGTTCACACTTGACTCTCAGTTGGCCAATGGATTAAAGTCACTTCTAAATGCTTTGACAACAAATGAACTTGATGTTCCTGCAGATTTCATATGTCCGATCACTCATGAGATAATGGCGGATCCAGTAATGTGTGAAGATGGTTTCAGTTATGAGAGATCGGCAATACTTGAATGGTTCTCAAAAGACAAGACAACCAGCCCAATGACTAATTCTGTTTTAACTTCGACGACAGTTTATGAAAACGAAAAACTCAGACGATCAATTGAAAATTACATGAAAAAGTTAGATTTTGATCCTTTTGAATGAATGCTTAATTAACATTATTCTATCATGCTGATTATCTAAGAATGGAATAACAATATCTAATTCTTTTAAGATTTGAGAACATTTAGATGAGATATAATCAATTATTGAAAGCCTTAAAATTCGTTAACAGATATAATAATAATTCTTATTATGTTATCGCCATAAACATCAATGTTTCACTTCGAAAATTCGTTTTAAAACTTCAAAGATGTTTCCAAACCTATTGATCATTTTTTTTTCAAAATGTATGTGTATGTTATTTATGCTTCTACACTTAATTGTTGTTTCTACAAAATTTTAAAAGACGATTATGCACTTAAGTATTGATCAACTTAATTGATTGTTATCATATACCTACTCTGAAAAATTACAATAAATATTTTTTTATAGTTGAAACTTAGTGAAATTTAACGGGTTTTAGAAATTTGAAATAATTTGCGATTCGCAATTTTGTTCCTCGTGTTTATAAAACTTCGGCGAGAGAATAGTTGAAATTTAGTTTTATTAAAAATTTATCATTAGAAAGAAGTGAGATGGATCTTATTAAAACAATTGAAGACGATGAAGAAATAGCTAATCTTTCTGAAGATTCAGATTTAGAAATTGAGGTAAGGGATTTAAATAAACTTAATATTTGATATCAACATTTCGTTTTCCTACAGTATCAACCAACAAAACAAAAACGTATCAAGAATGGACACTTTGAAAATGATTTTAAATTTGTTTCATCTGCTTCTGAATACAACAAAGATACTTGGGATGATTTAATGAAATTTGTCAAGAAACGAACGAGAGGCAAAGTTGAAGACAAAATTGCCAAAGTCATTCAATCAAGAAAAAATGACGAAAATGATTCTGAAAGTGATGATGAAGGCCCACCAGATGAAATTGAATTATCCGATGATGAATTGAAACATGATAATCTTCGTGTGAAAGAAAAGAAAGGAAAGAAACGAAAGTTCCTTAAACAAGATGAAATAATCGAAGACGAAAAAATGGAATTTGATGAAACTCCACTTTCGAACGGTGACGTTAATTCATTCTATCAAATGAATTTATCCCGACCATTGATGAAAGCTATTGGAGTTCTTGGCTATACTCATCCAACACCAATTCAAGCTTCTACAATTCCTCTTGCACTGCTCGGACGAGACATTTGCGGTTGTGCTGCAACTGGAACTGGAAAGACCGCAGCTTACATGTTACCAACTCTCGAAAGATTGTTATACAAACCACTCTCAGCTGCTTCCGTTACTAGAGTTCTTGTTCTTGTTCCAACTCGTGAGTTAGGTGCTCAAGTTTATCAAGTGGCAAAGCAATTGTCACAATTCTCCAACATCGACATTGGATTGGCCATTGGAGGTTTAGATGTGAAAGCTCAAGAAAGTGTCCTGAGACAGAATCCCGATGTCGTCATCGCAACGCCTGGAAGATTAATCGACCATATTAAGAACACGCCAAGTTTCACACTGGATTCAATTGAAGTAAGTCAATAATATTGAATAACTTAACTTGAAGTTTGTTTCATTGATGACATCAATCCTTGCGCTCTGATACATGTCAGCATGTCGTAAGATGCACAAAACTTTAGAAGCCAATTGCCTTTAACTGATTCATTGAATTGAATAATTTAAAACTCATTTCAATTATTTTCAAGCTTATCAAAATTTACAAAATTTCTAAATTCGCAGGTTTTGATTCTTGACGAAGCTGATCGAATGTTGGATGAAAATTTTGCTGAACAAATGAAAGAAATCATTCAAAGTTGTTCTAAAAGCCGTCAAACTATGTTATTTTCTGCGACAATGACTGAACAAGTCAAAGATCTTGCTTCTGTTTCTTTATCAAAGCCAGTTCGTGTTTTTGTAAATAACAATCAAACAGTTGCCTTTAATTTACGACAAGAATTTATAAGAGTTCGAGAGGGGAAGGAAGGTGATCGTGAACCTCTCTTAGCTGCTCTCATTTGTCGTACATTTCATGATCATTGCATGGTGTTTGTGCAAACAAAGAAAACTGCTCATCGCTTAAGAATAATTTTGGGTTTGTTAGGAATAAAAGTTGGAGAACTTCATGGTGATTTGTCACAAGCTCAGCGTCTTGAATCGTTGAAACTGTTCAAGGATGAACTGATCGATGTTTTGGTTGCAACTGATGTTGCTGCTCGAGGTTTAGACATCACAGGTGTGAAAACGGTTATCAACTTCGTCATGCCAATTACTTTGGAGCATTACATTCATCGTGTCGGAAGAACAGCTCGTGCTGGTCGTGCTGGAATTTCAGTTTCCTTAGCTGGCGAACAGGAAAGAAAAATTGTTAAAGACATCATTAAGAACGCAATAAATCCGGTTAAGAATCGAATAATTCCTCCAGAAATTATTGAGAAATATCGAAAGAAACTTCTAGCACTTGAGGTTGAAGTCAGAAATGTTTATGAAGAAGAACGAGCAGAGAAAATGCTTGCACAAACTGAACAGCAATTATCGAAGACAGAAAGAAAATTAAAACAAGGAAAGAATGAAGTGAAAGAGTCGCGTCAATGGTTCCAAACACATAAACAAAGAATGGAAGAAAAGGAAAGATTGTCGATAAGACCGAAAGATCCAGAAAAGGAAAGTCAGAAGAAAGTTAAGAAACAGAAGAAGAAACGTGGATCGGACGATGAAAGTGACTTAGAAGATTACATTTTCAAGCAGAGACAAAATAGCGGTGAGACGAAAAAGAAGAAAGATAAGAAAACGATTGTTGTGAAATCAGCTCGAGCACAAGCACGAGAACGAGCTTTGAAGGTAAACATTTTATCAAATTTACTTTTTTATTATTGAATTTGACAAATTTTCATATTTAGGATCTTGAAGCGGCTTCGTTGACACGTGCAAAAATGTCAAAATCTTTCTTGAAGCCAAAAAAGCTTCGAACTGTTGACGATTCAAACAAAACACCGCGTAATAATTCAATGATGATGAAGAAGAAGGGAAATGGCAGTAAATTTAACTTCGACATGGATACCAGTAAAAAAGGTGTGAAAAAGCTTCGATATGATGCCACGAAAATGAAGAGAACTCAAAAGAAGGCGAGCGGAGGCGTGAAAACGAGTCAAGAAAAGATGAAAAATCGTGCTGGTCTTAACAAAAGCAACAAAGGAAAAGTTTTTGGACGTCCAAAGCAAAAGAAACAACGTTGAAATGGACTCACTTGAATTTATCTAAATAAATGAATAAAACTATGAAATTCCTGTTTTTAACATTTTTCAATTTTATTTTTATCATTCATCATTAATGTGTTCAGCATCAGAAACATTACACAATGCATTGAAGGATTTCTTCGTTATTCATTCGAACGAATATGACGGCAAATAAAGACAGAATTCATTTTTCTTTCTTTTGATAATTCGTCGCGTTTGAATTGATGACAATAACTAACATCTTTCGCTATTAAATTCATGCTTACTTAAACACAATTGAAATGAAGAAGAAAATTAAAATTTTCTCAAGTTTTGCTGATTGATATTTTTATAACGAAAGTCGGCAGGAATTTCCTGTTTCTCTTAGATAAAAAATGAAAATATTTTCCATAAAATTGTCATCCTGAAATGCTTTTGCTTGTTGAATAAAAGAATAATATTTGATGAATAAAAATATCATAGAATTATGCAAATACATAAATGATTGATTAGATATTTAAAAAGAAAAGATTGAAAGATCGTTTTATGTTGCATAATTTTTGTATTAATCATAGAATGGGAAAGAAAGATAATATAAAATAAATTCAAAATAAGAATTTAGGCATGAAGAAGAATGGAACTTTTTGGCCTTAATTTAATACAAGTTTTCATCATCATTCGTTAAATTAATTGTACAAAAAGCTATAATTAAATATTATCATTCTTTTATTGTTGGATGCTTTCTTGCGTTCGTTCTTCGTCATCACCATCCATAAATGTTTCGTTCTTCATTGCATAATTAAATTTCTAAATAATCATTTCAATCTTTTTTCAGCAAATTCCTTTTTTTCAAATTCTAAAATTAATTTTACATTTATTCTCTTTTTATTTTAGTTTTTCATCAATGATATTTTATTTTATCAACTTGTTGTCTACTTTTTCACATATTCATTAATATAGTGAGTTGTGTGGCTTAATCTTCCTTATTACAGAGCGGAAAAAGTGTGAATGAATCATAAGAAGATGACAAAGAGAAAAGCTTCAAATTTTCATGCTTAGGAAGTTCGTGGGAGGACAAACTTCCAATTTTCCGTCTCTTGATGTCATTTTCTTTCTCTGTCTTTGTCTTAAAACATCAAATCGGCGAAAGAAAAAAATTGCTTAACATTTCTACAGCCTTTTGCAAACACCGCGATAATTGATGAAGAAAACAATTTATTTATTCATATTTTGATATAAAAAGAAGCGCGTAATTTTTGTGTTTTTATATATTTTTGATTTTTAATTAGAAAATTATGAAGGGGAGAGAAAAATATAAAGGAAAATTTCTGATTCTTCTTTTTTTTTGTTTAATGTTTTTTGTTATGCGGAAATAAGCTTTCAATCAAACGGATCACTGGCAACATTGCTTTCGCACTTCAGATGTAACAGTCGGCTTAACGTCGATAGGCTCCACATTCGATGGACGAATAACGTCACCTTCTGGGGGATCACGAATTTGTTTTTGCGAAACAATTCGATAAATTTCTACAGAAATAAATTTGATATAAGAATTTGACATATTTATGATGATCTAAGAATTACCTGTGAGTATATTTTGAAACGCTGTCTCAACATTCGTTGAGTCAAGAGCTGATGTCTCAATAAAGCTGAGTCCATTGCGTTCAGCGAATGATTTCGCTTCATCTGTCGGCACAGCACGCAAATGTCGCAAATCGCTCTTGTTTCCAACCAACATTATCACGATATTCTGATCTGCATGATCACGTAATTCACGTAACCATCGTTCAACATTCTCATATGTTAGATGTTTCGCAATGTCATACACGAGTAAAGCTCCGACTGCCCCACGATAATATGCTGAAGTGATGGCCCTATACCGCTCTTGACCGGCTTAAATTCAAGAAATTATTCTTACTAACTTTCCTTTTCTTTCTCTTTCTCTCTTACCTGTATCCCAAATCTGAGCCTTGATCGTCTTGTTATCCACTACAATGCTACGAGTTGCGAACTCAACACCAATTGTTGATTTCGATTCTAAGTTGAATTCATTGCGAGTAAATCGTGATAGAAGATTACTCTTTCCAACTCCCGAATCACCAATTAAAACCACTAGAAAGTTAATCAAATAATTCGTCAGTCTTATGGAATTTAGCAAAGTAAATTAAATGAATAGTTTCAACGATTATCGTACATGACGAATGAAATATCCGGATCGATAACAAAGAATGCAAATAACTCGCACCTAAAGTTAATAAGTATTTCTTAACCATTTACCAAACCTTTACATGGAATGTGAACAACAAAAAACGTTTTTTGATTTTAATCTTACACAATGTTCATTGAAAAGAATTCATAAGAATGTGAATGAACCTTCGTTAAATTTCACACTTTCTTACACTGCCTGATTATATCATCTTCAATTTATTCTTAATTCGTCACGATGATTTACTTAATATAAACTACTGGTAACCAGCTTTGATATTTTAGAACCAGAAATACAAATAAAATCTTTTTTGCGATTATTTAGAATGCTTACACATTTATTTAAAACAATGTAAAGAAAAAGAAGAATAAAAACATTGCGATGGCGAGTTATCAACAGATGTTGTTTATGCAAGCGATTTACTTGATCAGAAATGTTCTTCATTTTGAATTAACATATTACGAATTTTCCATGATAATAATAATTAATTAATTATTGTTAATTATCGTAACGATGAGAATATTTGGAATCGTACTTTGCCCTGATGAAAGTTTTCTTTCTAAGTGAAGGCCTAATTAAGATAACTTATCAACAAACCGTTCGATGGTAGAATGAATAATTTTGTTCTTTCTAAAGTAAGGGAAACCACATTTATGAGCCAGCATTATTTTGTAAAAATGATCCTTCAAAATTATTTTTAATAAACATGACACAGTCACCACAGAAAAGCATATTTAATAGAAAACATGAGTCACCATCAGATGATATTTTTCTTTATTGCGGGGCGTTGATGTTTCACTGTTTCATTTGATGTATGCTCATGCATATCAATGGCATGGTCCAAATTTTGACTGTGAACTGTAAATTTGGCTTAAGAAAACTTCCCTACACCATCACTTAACGATGAGAATCAATTTGTCATCTGATACAACGAAAATTACGAGAATTTTTTCTAATTTGCCAGCGTGGAATTTTAAATATTTTCAAACTTGATAAAAATCATTTTCATCATACCAAATCATCGCTCACGACTTGGTTAATGACGTGCTTTCTTTGTGTTTGGTTCTGTTCACCCTCTTAAATCTTGATATTTTAGGCTTAGAAAAAGCGAATAAAGGTTTCTAATGATACATTCTTTGTTTATTTAATGGATATTTCAATAAAAAATAGCTATTCAACAACAAAGAGAGAAATTTTCAATCACTCTAGTCAAAAGTATGTGACAAAATAAACCGTAGAATCATTAAGAATCGAAAGAAAAAAGGTCATGGGAACAGAATATATTTTCGCGACGGAATTACCTTTGAATAAATAATCATATTCATCATCTCTATTTCCCATTTCACTTTGTTTATACTGTTTATAGTTTGGAGCAACTAATTAGTCTATACAATTCACTTCAAATCTAGTAGAATCACTTGTAAACCTATTAATTATTTCAATAAACTCAGATTCAAATGGCGATACAGTGTTTAAGAACGATACCCACATTTATTTCGTCGTACCCCTTAGAACAAAAAAACTTTTTAAACGAAACGGTTTTTTATTTTTTCCGTTAAAATTTATAATTTTACAAATGATATTTTATCGTTTCTTTTTAAATTTCATTTTGGGATTTTTCCCTTGATTTGTTTTGAATTTCTTTCCACCTTCACTTTGTCCACCTTTTCTTCCGTCATGTTTCTTATCTTTATGTTGATCTAAGCGAGGTTTCTTAGCATTAAACTTCTTTGATGAAAATCCTGGTATGTGCGGACGTTTTCTTGTGCTCTTAACTGCATTTTCAAACAGTTCTTGTTCTGGATCAGCGCCAATTTCATCCTTATAGTATTCAGCATCATCTTCAGGTGTATCATCGATAGCATCCTCTGCATCTTTAATCAACTTTTTATCGTTCTCCGTCATTAAAAATTGTTTGTTTCCACTCGTCTTAAGTTTATGTTCTTCCTTTGCCACATTTTTCTTCGCTTTGTTGTCTTCTTGAATCTTTTTACGATGTTCTTTCTGTACTCTTTTATCAGCACGTTTCTTTTTAGTTTTTAATATTTCATCAACAGATTTTACAACATCTTTATGATAAAGAACTTCTCCATTCAACAAATCAGTTTCAATTTTCCTTAACTCGAAAGTTATACGTGGGCCAAGTTCGTGAAGTCGAATCGCAGATTGTCCAGCTTCAACGTTTCCCCTTTTAAGTGCTTGCGACACTTCAACATGCGTCTCTTCATCATCAAACTCCGAATCGGAAAGTGCTTGACTCTTCATCACCAAATCTGAAATGTCTTCCATTTTACTCATATCAGGAATTTTCCGCTGAACGATTTTCTTGATTCCTTTGTTAACTCCAACTGGCACCAAAGTTATGGCATAATGTCTCATGTCAATAAGATTAGTAGCTGGATTAAACGAAAAAAGCACACAACGTCTAATATTTCCCAACTTTAATGTTGTAAGATTTAAAGGTGGAAACATGTTTTGAAATGTGTTCGCCATGAGTTTCATGTGATTTCCTTCGCCAGAGAAGCTGTTTAAAATGACGAGTGGTGCTTGTTTGAACAATCCCTCTTCAACATATTGTTTTTTCAGTGACGACAAAACATCTTTTGCAAGAATAAACGAATGAACTTTGAAACTTAATGTCGGTCCTTGCGGTAATCTTGATACTTTCATTGATATTGACTTTTCTGATCTCGTGAAGAGACACATATGAGAAACATGAAATATTCCACAGAGACTGACAAAGTCCTTGATTTTATTTGATTTTCGTTCTTGAAGGTGAGTCGCTGTGAAAGGTTCCATCATTTTACGGAAGTCCCGGGATAAAGTTAGCATGAACGGACCTAGAAAAATATTAAAATTACACTTGAAATTCTTCTACAAATTTAAAAATATTATCTTACATGACAGTCCTCGATGGATGACAAATGTGTGTGGTGCATTCTTCAATTCAATTGGTTCATCAACAATTTTATTATTTCCTCGTTGTTTATTCTTTTTAGTTTTTCTTTTCTTCATGATTAATAATGAAAATCTTTCCAGAAGATTTGAAAAGTGTTTATTATTATAATTCTGATTAGTTATTTATTTAAATAACTTTCCAATTATTTTGATTTCTAAATGTTTTAAAAGGATAAACACATGTACTACCAAAAACCGATTCATTTCGTATCGGGTATCAGTAGCCTGAGGCGAACCGGGTTGAAAAAAGAAATGAACAGCATATTCGGGGTAACCAGTTGCCCGATAAACTTGTTTAACAATTTCTTATAAATTTATTATTTTCATGATAATTCTTTATAAAAATTGAATTATACTCTATTAATCATGTATTTGAAGTAAATTTCTCACAATTAAAAGATGTTGAGAATAAAAAATTTCATCGGAATAACTGTTCTCCAATATTCAGACTGGTCACCATAAAAAAGTGAAGCTTAACCGATACTAAAATGCGAAATTTTGAAAATTCGAGAATAATTATACTCTTAGTATCGTTTTAATAAATCTTACAATTTAAATGAGTTAAGGAAAAAGCTTTTAAACTTAAGAAGTATGTGTTTACTTTTAGTTTAACAAAACTGTCAAGAATAATTGAAATAATGTTTTTGGGCGCTTCTTTTTCCAGTATTTTGTTTTTGTTTCATCTCTTAACTTGTTTATTTTAAATTGCTTAGGCGTAATTTGCATTATAGCGATTGTGATAACAATGGGATGTGATTTCTATTTTGCATATAAATTATTTCTGCCCACAATAAATTTTAAATTATCTTGTCTGGATGTTTAGTCAAATTTAAAATTAATAAATAAACAAACCTTTTTTATTCAACAGAAAATTGGATTAAATAATAAAAAATGTTTTACGCTCATATCGTACTGGCAAAGAAAGGCCCCCTTGGTCGGATATGGCTTGCAGCGCATTGGGACAAGAAACTGACCAAGGCCCATGTCTTTGAAACAAACATTGAACAATCTGTAGATGGAATTATGCAGCCAAAAGTAAAGTTAGCTCTTAGGACGTCTGGTCATCTTCTTCTAGGGGTTGCTCGCATCCATTCAAGAAAAGCAAAATATCTTCTAGCTGATTGTAATGAAGCTTTTGTTAAAATCAAGGTAAATTTATTTTTGTTTTCTTTCGATGAGTTTCCTCATGTCGTGTTTTTAGATGGCATTTCGCCCAGGAATGGTCGATTTACCTGAAGAACATCGTGAAGCTGCTGTCAACGCAATCACATTACCAGAAGTATTTCACGATTTCGATACTGCTTTACCTGAATTAAAGTAAATTTTGATTTTTCATATCGCGACATGTTTTTTAAATTAATTAACTTTTTTAGTGATGTGGATATTGAAGCCCAATTTTCAATCAATCAATCAAGAGCAGATGAAATTACAATGCGAGAAGATTATGGTTCACTTCCAATGACAATGCATGACGATGGATTTGGTGAAATTGGTTTTGATGGTCCGGAACTTGTCCGTGATGAAATGAATCCTTCAATAGAAGTAAAATCTCTGCTAATTATAAATATTTGAAATAATTTCACATTTTATTTTAAGGATGACTTGTTTTCGGATCCAATCCACAAGGGACCTGATCTTGATCATTCGAAAGAAGCTGGAACATCACGATCAATGCTAGGTGGAATTGATTCTCATCCACTTGATGACGACTTTGGAGATGATTTTGGAGAAGGTTCGGGATTATTTGGAGATGATATTTTTGCAGATCCACCAGCAACTATGGAGCCACCACCACCAAATGCTGGAAATATGACTTCGCGAACCGATGACGATTCTGATGACGATGGAGGACATTTCGATGGTGGAGCTTCGCCAGCTTTATCAAGCACAAGTTCACGACCACCTTCGACACTTCCACCTCAAGCTATGAATCAATTTCATCCCGATGGACAAGAGAACTTCATGAACGCATTGAATCAACAGCCGAGTACAAGCAAAGGCCTTCTTGGCGATCATGATGACGCCGCTGACAAAACAACATTGGTAAATAACGAAGAAGAATCATTTGCATTAGCACCAATTGACGCGACAGCTTTGAAAGGCATCACAAAGACAAAACGTAAGAGAAAATTGATTATCGATGAAGTGAAAAACATTTCAGGAGAAGAAATGAAAGCTCAGCTAGCGAACACTGCAGACATCATCACGTCACTAGATCTTGCTCCACCTACAAAGAAACTCATGAATTGGAAAGAAACTGGTGGCGTTGAAAAGCTTTTCGCACTTCCATCACGTTTCCTTCCCGCTCGAGCCCTTTCAAAGTTGTATCAAATTAATCTCGTGTCAAACACGGGAATCATTGAAGATTTTTCAATATTGGGACCTGCAGATTTATTAGCATTAGAACAGCATGTACTTGAACCAGTTCCAGATTCACCGACCAAACGTGGAAGGAAGCGAAAGAATCAAGAACATGACGACGCAGAACTTGCAATACCAGAAGTCATTCGAGATGTCAGTGAGTTGTCAGCACAAACAATTGCACCTGTTGAGCTAAAAGGAGATCTGGGATTAGACACAGCACCGGTGTTTGGTGTAATGGGACCTCCAGCAACACCAAGCATGGGTCAATTAGCTTCACCAAGACAATCCATTCACAGCATTCCAATGACTCCTGGAAATTTAACTCATGGAAGTATGACGCCGTCAGGCTTTCATCACGGTCTCGATGAGAACAATCCTATGCTAAGTGATCCAGCGTTGAGCAATCTCGACTCAATACCCAATCTAAATGCTGAAACTGTGAGTTCGATTCTTGATGGAGCTGAAGGAATGGATCAGCATTTTGCCAATATGGGCTACGATGCTCAAGCATCACCAAGTGGTGGAATTTCTGAAAGAATTGCTAATGATTGGAATGATTATGACTATCCTGCATCAGTTGGACAATCAGGAGAAGAACAGATGATTGATGAATCGATAGAACAATTTGAAGAGCGTGTGTTGAACAAGCGAGCGGCACAACTTTTTGTGACTGTCAGAGCGAAACTACAGAAGCAAGATAAAATTTATTTAACGGATATGACGTATAGAAATACAAAGAAACAGGTAAATGTTGTTGATTAAATTTAAATTCAAGAAATTTGATTAAATTTATTTCATTCTTTTTTTCTGTTCTTTCATTTACAGGCGGCACAGAAATTTTATTCGCTTCTTGTGCTGAAAAAGTTTCAAATGTTAGAAATTGAGCAAGAGCATCCATTCGCTGAAATTGTTTGTTCGCGTGGTGATGCTTTTGATGACAACAAAGCGATTTAAGTAAAGAAAAATTGATCAACATGAAGAGATTGATATCAAATTGTATGTAAGAAAGAAAAAGTTTTAAAAAGCTGACGATCATTTCTCATCGATGTTAGATGATATAATGAGATAAATATGTGTACAAAGATTCAGTTTTCCTTATTTTTTTCAACATTTCGTCACTAAAAGCTAAGATAATGATCTGACTAGAAACGAAATCGAAATTACGTTCATGATTTGATTCTTAATTTAAAAAATCTCTTTCGGTTCATTTTTTTGTATTATCACTGATATCTGTGATGAAACATTTTAAGTATCTTTTCGTTTGTCAAGACATTTCTCAGTAATTTTACATATTGTGAATAATTTCATTATGATTGCAATTTATAAAAATGAGAAAGTCTTTCATTACTTTCAACTTTTTTAACAATTTACTTACAACAAACACCTAAAATTTCTGAATAATTTGCAAATTTAAATCAACCGTTCTTAATCTATATTCCATGTATCAAAACAAATCATTTTAGATTTATTATCAGATAAGAGA